AGTCAGAAACTATAGCAAGAGCAAAAAAAGCAGACCATAGAAACTGACTGGTAACATGATTGAGACCTGAAGTCATCAGGTAGGAAAACTCAAATACATGTTTTAGGTGTTCAAGAAAATAAGTATGAAACAAATGTACACTAGAAATTAAAAATCTACTTAAAAATCAAACAAGAGCCATAAGCAACTTAGCGAAACCCTGTCTCAAAATAAAAAGTAAAAAAGGGCTGACAATGGACCTGCATTCAATCCATGGTACCAATCAATCAATCAATCAAACAGGAATTCTAGAACTAAAATATATGCTAACTAAAAAAAGCAAGGGACTATCTTTAATAATGGTTTAGATCTAGTGGATAAAAATTAGTAATTAAAAAATAATTAAGTATAAAAGTTGTAGAGAGAATAGAGAGCTAAAAGAAAGGTGATTTCAAAGAAGAGAGTAAAAAGGAAGTATAGGTCATGTTATAAAGGGCCACATGTAAATACATATAAAGTACATGTATTTGAAGTCTCAGAAGTTGAAAAAGATGAATATTGAATCAAAAGAAATATTTGGAAAATAAAATGGCCAATTTAAAGTATCTGTGAGTTTTTAAGCTAAGTGTGTTAGAAATTCTACCAGCTCCAAACAGGATAAGAAGAAGGGAAACATACTGGGCATGTTTAAAATTGTTGAAAATCAAAGGCAAACTGAAAAGACATGGAAGTACCCAAAAGACCAAAAAAAAAAATTGTATTTCAAAGATTAAGATCTGAACAAAGACGATAGAAAAGGAAGACAAAGAAGCCATTATTAAAGGGATAAAATACAATCTCTGACCTATCATGACCGCCTGGGAAAATGTCTTTCATCACAGAGGTGAAATTAAAGCCTTTCCAGATAAGCAGAAGATCTTCAGGAGGAAGGGCAAAGGTAGTCTACAGCCAGGAGTTAAAAGGTCCCAAGGGAAACAGAAGTGAAGGAAGAGCCATGGATAGTCTAAATATGTGGGCTAATCAAATAAACATCACTGTCCCAACAATAATATTGCCTAACTTGTAGTGTACCTTGAAATAAAATGAATGACAATAACTCAAAAGGCAGAAAAGGGGTAAAAGGGAGTTAATATTAGTAATAAAGTCCTAGCACTGTCCAGGATATATGAAATTCTATTAGAATTTTTGTTTAGATTTCACAGAATACAAACATGCATCATGAGGAAACCAAAAACTAAAATGATGACTTTTTTGTAATTTCATGTTTTTTAAAAAAATTTATTTTATTTTCATACTAACAGTATTTTATTGTAATATACTTACAAATAATAATGCATATGAAGTATGTAGTTTGGTGTTAACAAATGTATACACCCTTATAACCATCAGCCAGATCAAGTCTTAAGAATAATTCCATCAACACAGAAAGTTTTTCTTATGTAAATTTTTAGTCAAAATACTTAAAAGAAGCAACCACTCTTCTGATTTCTATGGCTGTAATTTAGTTTGCAAGAAAATTAAAATCTGTTTTACCTTATCAAAAGCATTCTTTTTAGGCTGAGCACAGTGGCTCTTGCCTATAATCCCAGCAGTTTGGGAGGCTGAGACAAGAGGATCACAAGTTCAAAGCCATGAGGTGAGGTGCTAAGCAACTCATGAGACCCTGTCTCTAAATAAAATGTAAAATAGGGCTGGGGATGTGGCTCAGTGGTTGAGTGCCCTTGAGTTCAATCCCCAGTACCAAAACAAAACAAAACAAAAAATCCTATTACAGAGGCATCTCTGGGTTAAAGCATATTCACTTACAATTAAATAAATTATATCAGAAACAAAAGTAGATCTTTTGTCTCAACTCCAACATGCTATCCAGACAGGAAGACTTAAAAACTTCAGGGCCACATGAGTCAAAACCACAGCTACATTGGCAACTACTGGAAGCACCAGGAAGCTGGGGTAATCCTGTGGCATGTGTCACCCACCACAGGATCAACTTTGACAAATGTCACCCAGGTTTGGGAAAGTTGGCATGAGGCATTGTCACTTAAAGAAGAACCAGGGCTTCTGTCCAACAGTCAACCTTGATGAATTGTGGGATGTTGATCAGACAAAGTAAGTGCTGCCAAAAGCAGACAAGAGCCACTCTCATCATTGATATAGTGCAGTTGGGCTACTACAAAGTTCTGAGGAAGGGAAAACTCCCAGAGGAGCCTGTCATCATGAAGGCCAAATTCTGAGAAGACTAAGGATGTTAGGGGCACCTGTTCTAGGCAGCTTATAGCCATACAGAGGGAGGTTCATTAAATGCAAACAAATGCATTTCCTTTGAGGTCTGAGTGTAGGCTCTTTGGTGACATCTCAATATCCCTATGTATATATTGGGAACCCACTTAACAGGTCCTAAAAGGATGAGGGGCATGGGCACTTTTGTTGACTCCCCTCAAATAGAATGGTAGAGATAGCACCCAACACTTAGCATTGGCCAGTTAAACCTTTTCATTTATAAAGTAAAAGAAGAAATGCTAAGTAGCATTGTTGATGATTGAAATACATTTTAAAAGGCCAAACATACACAGACACACAAAGTAAATAAGTATATTTCATAATTATTTTATGACATTTTACTCTTAACTATGCACTTGAGATTATTTGTCTAGTGTATTTTATAATTATCATAAAGTATGCATAGCATATAATCTAATATCTTAATCATTTTAAGATGATAGTTCAGTGGCATCACATTCACATTATTGTGCTACCATCACCACCAGCCGTCCACAAAGCTGTTTTCATCTGGCAAAACAAATTCTACACCTGTTGAATAATAACCATTCATTCTCCATTCCTCCCAAACCCTGGAAAACATCATTCTACTTTGTCTCTATGAGTTTGATGATTTTAGGTACATCCTATGAACAGAATCATACTGTATTTATCTTCTGTGACTGGCTTATTTCATGGAGTACGTCTTTGAGAGTCTCCTTTTTTAAAAATATTTCATTATGCACACATATACCACAATTTGTGTATCCGTTTAACCATTGATGGCTACTTGAGTTACTTTTGGCTACAGTAAATAATGCTGTGAGTGTGGGTGTACAAATATTTTTGAGTCACTGCTTTCAATTCTTTGGAATATATACCCAGTAAAATTGCTGAGTCATATTTTAATTTTTTCATAAACTGCTATAATGTTTTCCATATCAGCTATACTGTTTTATATTCCCGCCAATAGAGCATAAATTGTGGTGGTACACTCCTATAATCCCAGCAACTCAAGAAACTGACATGAGGATTGCAAGTTTAAGGCCAGCCTCAGCAACTTAGCAAGGCCCTAAGCAACTTAGTGAGATTTAGACTCAAAATAATTAAAAAGGGCTCAGTGGTAAAACACCCCTGGGTTAAATCCCTAGTACCAAAAAAAAAAAAAGTTCCAATTTCTACACATCCTCATGGACACTTATTCTTTTCTATTTCTTTTTCCATTTGTATTTTTAAATAGTAGTTATCCTAATGGGTGTGAGTAGTACATTTGTAGAATTTATATGGTGAAAATATTAGATCATGGTGTGCTACTTAGCATTTCTTCCCAATTCTGTATTTAATGATGTTTCATTGGCAGATTAAAATTGGCCAGGGTAGGTCTATTTACCTGTTGGAAATAGGCAAATGACATAAATCAGGACTTTCTTCTCAGAAGTGCTGTTTTTAAACCCCAAAGCACCAATAAAATGGAAGCCTAGGAAGTAGAAGCAAGGTCAGGGAATCCCTCCCATTCTGGTTGTATCTGGTTGTGTATTTTGATACACTGTCTCAGCTGTTTTGTCACTAAAAATTATTGCTTGCTCTTGTCATCCTCTCCACCCATTCTGTGGCCTAGATTTTATTGTGGTCTGTCATAAATCATTTTCAATAGTTTTGCAGCATCCCAGGCAACTCTGTCAATACCTGAGTAAAAGGATAAAGAAATCTATTAGACTTATGAGTCAGCACAATCTTAAGTACCCATTACTCACATTCTAGTAAATTAACAAAATATTTTAATGACTTTAACAAAAGGGAAAGCAACTTATAAAGCCACAATAAAATTTTAAACAGGAATTATTCAATTGCAATGTTCATAGAGTTTAAAAAAGAAAAAAGCAATGCAAAAACCCCTAGAAATAACAAAGTTGGTAGAGATGAGCATTTGGAAGGTTAAATTGACCCCATGTTAAAGGAAACGCCCTACATGTTGCTACTTCAAGAGAAAGAAGTCAGTATTGCATTGGATTCTACTATTAGCTTTCTGAGATGATAAGACATCATTGTGGGCTGGGGATGTGGCTCAAGCGGTAGCGCGCTTGCCTGGCGTGCATGTGGCCCAGGTTCGATCCTCAGCACCACATACAAATTCTCTCTCTCTCTCTCTCTCTCTCTCTGTCCCCCCCTCTCTCTCTTGCGCTCTCTTTTAAAAAAAAAAGACATCATTGTGCTAAATCTATTAGTATACTTATAATATTATATTCTAATTTTGATCACTTTGTCCTTAAAAAACTGTAGAGGATAAAAACCTGGAGAGTTCCCAGAGAGAAATAGTAAAAACCTTTAGAAGTTTTTAAAAATTAATTTAGGAAAAGCCCCAAGAATTGTTCTCATTGAAACTGTCTTCAAGAAAATTAAAGATGTGCATGAATGGATATGTCACAATGAATCCCACTAATATGTGTAACTATTTATAAATATATATTAAAAATTTTAAAGTATTGGAAACATGTCATTTTGATATTTTCCATGCAAAAGCAAGATTGAACAAGGAGAAATATGTTTAGATTTAGATTTTTTTAAAAAATGAATAATTTTCAATATGAGCAAAAAGGTACACAAATATTAAAACTGGCTGATGGGAGGGGTGACCTACATTGGTAAGACAGAGAAAAGCAGAGAGCCTGTGTTGACACCAGAAGGTGGGGCTTCTTTAGGTTCTGTATCTATCTCCACATTCTAATTCTATGATTATAATTCAAGACTTGGCACCCTGAATCTTCCCCCCAGCACTCTTGTTGATAGCACAGCAATTTGGGGATTTCACCTCTTACATCTCAAGCTGTGTTTCTACCTTCATGACTCCCCAAACTTCTGATAAAAATGCTTCCTGATGTTCAAAGGGACATTCTCTGGGAACTTTATCTCAAATATAAGAGTCAAAAATACTTATCCCTTAGCCCAATTGAAATCCCACTTGTTTTCATTCATTTACTTAATCATTTTCTTGCTTTTTCTTCTAACACACTTGGGGACCCTCCTTGTCCCCCTCATATCAGCATTTCCTCTTAACTTGCTGTATCATTCTTTTACCCAGTGGGTTGCTGGCATCCTTATAGCTGAGGAGGTCCTCTTCAAAGGGGTACATTATGAGCTTTACTCTTTACTTTCCTTTAGGTTTATTCCTGTACTTCTATGCTGCTGTGGGATCTCCTTTAGCAATCCAACATCTTTAATTTTGTTTTAACTCTTTTAGGTAGCATTGGAGAAAATCCTGGCCATTGTAGAGACCTAGGCACATTTCTTCTCCATCCTTCCTTTCAAAAGATACTATAAGAGGGTTCTTCATGAGAAAATGCTCCAACTGAAGACTGGGATGCATCAGCCCTTAAAGAAGAAGGGACCTGCTGAAAGGGGAATGAATGAGCAGAAGACTTGGCCTGAGGAAGCACGAGTCTCTTCTGTGTCATACTGCGGGTAAGAGAACATTGTCAGAGACTTCCATTGTCAGAATTAAGTCATTGCTGCTGTCATAATGGCTTTTAGGGTCTATATCCAGACTTCATACATTAATTGCAGGGCTTTCTCTTAAGACCTTCCTGGATTTTCTTTAGGGAAAAGTCTATAAAATTTTTAATACTAGTTTAAATTATTCTAAACAGATTTGTTTTATTCTGACCAACCACATATGCACTCACCAAATGCAAAATCTCCATGGGTTCTTGAGTTGATGTCTTCATCATGTGAGTGGTGTCTTACTCCTGGATTGATGGGAATTTCTTCACATATTTCTCTGCTGAATATTGAGCTCTCCCAGTGCCTAAGGAGGTGGATTTATATAGAGGCTCCCTTCTACACTTGGACTGTATATCTTGAATCATGGTAAAATTACTTGTCTCAAGCTTTTAGTAATAATCTTGGTTTCATATAAACTTGGTAAAAGTGTCATAGGCAAGAATAAGTTAGCTCCTTTGTCTCACATTCAAAATGAATGAGGATACCATATGAAGTTACTGTGAACCATATGAAGATATTACAGTGAATCTCAGATTTGTTTAAATCTCATCTCTACCTTGAAGACTACTGAAGACAGAGAATATAGAGTCTATATCATGCCTAGACCATTTGTCATGGATATTTTATTGAGATTTACTTTAGGTGTACTATATCAAGAAAATGGTAGCGTTTTTTTCTACACATAAACTTATAATATTGATTGACTATGTTTTTGAAATAATACATGTGCCCTTTTTTTCTCCTGCTCCTACACAGTTTTTGCAAACTTCCACCATTTTTGTCCATTGGAAAACTCTATCCTGAATAACATATCCAAAATGATTCCTTCCTTGATCTTACACTAAATTCTTAAATCTTTCTTCCAAGACTACAGGATCCTGAGAAATCTAATCTAGAACACAGTAAACATTGACTTCCACTAGGTCTGCACTTGTATCTAAATTAGTAGGTTACTTTGTGTAAAATGTATATTCCTGGGAACTTCTTCAGAGTTTTTCATCAGTGTTCCATATGACTGTGATGCAGGTGATCCCTACGTCAGTAACTGGCATACCCAGAAATGGGGATGGGATGCTCATATTTATTGAGTGATATATTTTCATCAAACTTTGAGAAAGTCAGTTATACATATCACAAAATTCTATCAATTTAATACCATAATTGCCATTTTATTAATAAAGATGATGTCATAAAGAAGTAAATTGCTCACTATATTTCGTAGTTAGTGGAGGATCTAACATTCAAATCCAGGACTGTCTTTTCCAATGGTTGTGTCTTATTTCTTCAACCCATCTCTGGGAAAGGGCTTAGTAGGAAAAATATATTAAAATTAGCTGTTTGTAGAAAATTCAGTACATTTATTTTTCAACAAATATTTTTACATGGAAAACACTTAAATGGACATTAGGGTTATGGAGCAAACAAGGCAGGCCTAGCCACTTTTCTCATGAAGACTGTTTTAGAGCATAAATGCCAAAAAATATACCAACAAATTACCTAAATATATCTTAATTTTCATTTTGATAAGTGTCATTTATTACTTGAAAAACTGAGAATAGATAAAAGACTTGTAGTATCCAGAATAATAGATGGGTTTCAGGAAATGGAATCAGCTTTATTCATCTCAGAGATCCTTGAAAGTCAGAATAAAAAGATACATGACATTGATAAAGAATATTGGTTAGGAGTTTTGAGCCAAGATTTTTATTTATGGTTCTTCCACCTACCAACTGTGGGAGATTGAGTTTATTTCTTATTCTTACTGAGCCTTAACGTCCTTATCTGTGACATAAGATAAGGTCCCTTCCTGCCCTAGTGTTTTCTACATTTGTGATGGACTGGCATATTAAAGAGCCTATTACCTTAGTATTTGCATCCAGCACCAGGTCTTGGCTCTTAATATGTTCGTGTGGGTAGGTTTATATACTCATGTGATTGCATGTGTAGGTGTGTACTTATATGTTTTTATGTTTTCTTCAAGGAACACTATGCTAATCTTACATCCTAATATTTCAGACTGAAAGAACAGGAGAAGGAGCACCTTCTGGGTTGGAAGTGATAGGGAGGCCTAAGTAGCCAAAGTGGGCATGGGTGTCAAAGTGAGGCTGGAGTCTGAAAGTGAGAGGGAGCTAAGAAGTGCTCACATCACTAGACTCCTTTAGCAGTAGATTGTACCAAGCAGCAAGGACTTGGCCCTCTATAGGACAGACACAGAGCTAGCTTATGCTACTAGGAAGAGGAATCACAAATTCAAGAGGAAGAAATATGAGCATAAAGTCCTACCCCAGACCCCAGGATGTTGACCTTGGGGCTGCCATCCCAAAAGAAGACCATCAAGAAGTGTAAGCTTACCAGGAATGAAAGATGTTTAGAAAGGGGTTAGAGATGTCATTTCTTACCTTAAATATTTCTGTCCTGAGGGTCAGAAAGAGACATTTGTATCTGAAACCCCAGTAATAATACTTTTCTCTACTTAATATTACTTATATTTTAGAAAGGCTTTTAGAAAACACAATATTGCATAAATATTTATTGAATGTTTAATTTTCTAGACCCTATACTAAGCACATAGGGTACAATAAGATGTGGTCTCTTCCATAGAGGAACTCCAACTGAGTGGGGAAGGAAAGTATATAAAGAGGTAATCTCAACAGAATGCCCTAACTAGTCTAGCTTCTCTCTGGGTGTTTTTGAAGCCCAGCGGAAGGATGCAGGGTAAGCAATCTTAAGAAGATGTCACCTGTTGAGATGAATTCCAAAGGACATTCTCATGTCATAGAGTGCTCCACAGGTGAGCACATAATCTGTCTTAGAGAGAAGGGTTTTCTGCTTTAATGAAGGATGCATAGGATACCTGAGAAAACACATAGGACAGGATGCAGTGAGGGATGAGTTGAGATTTTCAAGGACTTGTCTTTTTCATTATGGAACATGTTTACCAAGAGTCTCTTCTGGGTTTGGTTTTGTGGATTTGAGATGAATAAAGCACTCTCTACTCTGAAAGAGCTTAGGGTGCATTGGTATTAAACTTACATAATGACATGAGAAATTTTGGATGGAAATGTAAATAACGTTTAAAAGGTTCAAAGGGGGTTCTCTGCTACCTGGGGTAAGAGCTGTCCTAATCCCCTCTGATTTTTTCCAACACCTGGATAACCTATTCTAAACCAGCAACTCTGGATCTCTGGCAAATTTCAACTTTTCAGAAGACAGCCAGCACTCTATGTTCCCTGCTAGAACAATACAGGCAACACTGACAAAGCCTCCAAGAAATAAGAAGCTGTGGTTCTACTCCAGCCAACTAGCTGCAGAAACACAGGAGATGTCAAGTTGGTCATATGAGTTTACCAATACCAAAGTAATGAGGGGTAATTTGTCTTCTTTTGATAAGTTAAATACAGATTTTGCTATACTCACTCCAACATTAAACTCTAGTACTTGGGCTGGGGATGTGGCTCAAGCCGTAGCACGCTCGCCTGGCATGTGTGCAG